TCTCTTTCGAATGATGTATCATGTCCCTATAGAGGGTATCTTGCATTGCAACTTTATTATCTTCACTACAAATTAACCTTATTAAGTTTTAAGGATGACTTTTCGGTTTTGTGTGCCCATCATTTTTTGAAATACAGACCTGCATTTTTTTTGTGATAATTAGAATTTTGAAAAATAAATCACGCCTCAAAATTGACATTAAAGAGAAATTTACAAAAAAAACAAAACAAAACTATTATTGTGTCAAACCGTCGTGACGTATTTGTTAGACATTAGAGTTTTAATTACATTTTACTTTGGTAATTAATTATTACAGTAGCAAAAAAAGACGTTTTTAAAATAAATATAAAAAATATTTTTTATTAAATAAAAAAGCAAATAACTGAGAACTTGGCAAGAACAGACTCACTAAATTAATATTGAAAACATAAAATTATTCCGTAAGTTTTAAAACTACATTCATCGGTGCAAATTATTTTCAATAAAAAATCATCATCTGCTTCAAGCCGATTTTCGAGACAATTACAGAATTCTAGCTGCTCGAATACATCACCAAGTTACTAACTTAAGTGGATTTTTTAGGGTTGATAGTGGTTTGATTGTAATGTCCTCCATATTCGCATTCACGGAATTTGCAGTTTTATTTTCAAAATGTCTGATTGATCCTCGAGGTTATGATTAACATAAAGTCTTTCCATATTTGAAAACATCTGTTTTACTGAAAGTCTGAAGTTACATGCAACTGCAAAAAGTAACTGGCACATTAACAACTAACAACTATGTCCAGACTGTTTGACATACATTTTCTTTTTTTGTGTAAATCTGGCTTTATTGTATCTGTATTTACAGAAATAAAGCTGATGATGCGAACACAAAACCGAAACGTCAAACATAATAACGAAAACTTGTAGGGGAGAAGTTGCAACGAGGAAGTGTCATTTTTAATAAAAAAAAATTATGGTCAGGAAAAAATTCAAAATAAATTACTGATTTTCCGTTTTTTCAAATGTCTCCAGAACTAATCAGAATTTTCTATATTTTGAAAAGATTTTAAATTAAGCCCCAAAAGGCTATTGTAAGCTTATAACCAACATGCTTTCCAAATCTAAGTTTATAGTTCATATACAGGCCTGCATTATTATTTGAAGCTATTTCAGAAAAAGCACGATGGGGATTACTACAAATTATAACCTTCTTCATGAAAATGTAATTGTGATAATTTCAGAACTTTACTGGTACTACTAGCTACTTCATTAAAAATTTTCTATTTTTCATTTTTGAAATCCAATACCGGATGTTTAAATGAATTCGTTCCATATTTTGGTCGTTCACTGTAATTGTATGGTTTGAAATACCTACGTTTCTTAGAGACCGTTGATTTTTTTTTGGAAACAAAGGTCAATGAGATGTATCCAAAAAATACGAACTAAAAAAAACATTTTTTGAAAAAATCTCGAGCCCACGGATTGAGGGTGTAATCCGTGGGCTCGCGATTTCTTCTAATAAAAGGTTTAATCTTGTGCCGTCATTAATTTAGTTTTCTATAAATTTTCTTCCAATTTTACTCACTGTGAATCATACAATGGTTCTCTCTCGATAATCTGCGTTAATATAAATTACAAACTTCCTGATAGAAATGTAATGGTGATAATTTAAGAACTTTACTGGTAGCGCTACTTATTTGTTTATTTCAAACTATTCTATTTTATATTCTTAAAATCCAATACCGGATTTTTAAATCAATTGTGATTCTTTCCCAAAAAATACATTTTTAACTGTTTCAAATACCTACGTTCCTTTGAGACGGTTGAATTTTTTTTGGAGATAAAGGTCAATGCAGTCTACCCAAAAATTGACCCCACCCCCCCAAACCCCTCCAGCTAATTATAATTATTGTTTTAAATTTTTGAACGTCTCAAAAAAAAACTGTTCCAGACGTCAAACGGTAAAAGTTATAATAGACTTTTTGGTATCGTTCGATTTACAGGTTCTAATAACCTATACAACGTTTCCGAACAAAAAAACATTTGTTGAAAAAATGACAAGCACACGGTCTACTGTCTTGAAATTAAAGAGATTTAATTTATAGACAAACATTTTTTTCTTTCTGTTTAGGTCAATTAGAATTGAAACCGGATAATTCGTCCATCTTCTGAAATTTTTCTCGTTAAAGCTAAAACACAAAGCAGAAAATTATTATTTTAGTTTTGGTTTTAATTGGTTATCTTTGTATACTTCTCGATACACTACAAGGAGGTTGCGATTGATTTGTAACATTTTTCAGTAATTGGGTGCAGTCGGTAAAAGGCGGCTTTATATACATGTATATACTCGTACAAAGAGCGAAATGCAACGTCGACATGACAAAAGTCTAACTAAGGTTTTCAAAGCGGGGCAATTTATATCGTAAAACGATACCTGTCGACTCCTATAAGATTTCCAGTCGTTAATAGCATTATTTTCTGTCGCTTGTGTTCATATTTATCTTTCTTTGAGACTG